TCGCTTGAGCCCAGGAGTTGGAGGTTGCTGTGAGCTGCTGTGATGCCATGGCACTCTGCCCAGGGGGATAGCTTGAGGCTCTGTCTCAAAAAAAAAAATTATAGAATATAACTTTACCTGGATTTCTAAGGGGAATTGTATATCCAGTAAATTGTTCATTCTAGAAACAAGATTTTAACTTTGCATATAAATATTCCAAGTAAAAACACATATCTTGATTAATATACAATTAATAATTACAGATAATTAGATAATTAGATATCACAAGTAATAATCCAGACAGAACATAAATAAAGGTATAGAACAAAATTACTACTAAGCAAAGTTAAACGTCAAACATCATAGGAAAGAACAGACATAAGTGAAAATTTTCCAATGCATTTTATTCACAACATAGCTGTATATTCAAATGCTAGAGGAAACATCTATATCTGCTTAGTTATTGATGGCAGCAATGAAAAGACAGAACTTCTTTATTCCTTATCCTATCTAGTCTCACATTGAGAAACAATCTTCGATTTTTTAGATATTTCATAAACTTGTATAATAATCCTTAGCTGATTGATGATTTCCTTGTCTGCTGTTGTCATGTTAAATCCCAACATCTTCATAATAGTTTCTCGAAAGTCAGCAAGCTATGAAGAACCACCACAAATATCAAGATATGTCATTAGTTTGAGTCACACACTTATTATATACAATGAAATTGATAGAAATTTAGTCTTATTAAACATTCTTTATTAGATGTAATAAATTCTACATTTAAATAGTATTTTTTAATTTTTTGAGATAGAGTCTTGCTCTGTTGCCTAAGAGTGCAGCGGTATGATCATAGCTCACTGCAACCTCAAACTCCTGGGCTCAAGCACTCCTCCTGCCTCCGCCTTTTGAGTACCTGGGACTACAGGCATGTGCCACCATGCCCAACTATTTTTTTTTTTTCTATTTTTGTAGACAGGGTCTCCCTCTTTCTCAGGCTAGTCTCAAATTTATGACCTCAAGCAATCCTCCAGCCACCTGGAGTGCCAGGACTACAAGTGTGAGCCACCATGCCCAATCTTAACCAGTATTGTTAAACTAGAAAAATGATTTCTTCCATTATAAGAACACCATTTAAAATTTCCTTTGCATTTTTATTTTTCATATTTTTATAGACTACACCTAATTGTATTGCTACTGATTTTGTTATTGCTCATCCATAAGGTGACTGTGGTTTGGACATATGATTTGCTGTATGTTAATAGCAGTCCCCTAAATAGATTATCTTTCCTCCCATCCTCCAAAAACCATAGCGATCAACAAGGAGAGTAAGTAGGCCGAGAATGGTGGTTCATGCCTGGAATCCAGCACTCTGAGAGGCTAAGGTGGGAGGATCGTTTGAGCTCAGGAGTTTGAGACCAGCCTGAGCAAGGAGGAAACCTTGTCTCTACTAATAACAGAAAAATTAGCCAGGCATGGTGGTGTATACCTATAGTCCTAGCTACTAGAGAGGCTGAGGTAGGAGGATTGCTTGAGCCCATGAGTCTGAGGTTGCTGTGAGCTAGGCTGACACCATGGCACTCTGTCCAAGAGCAAGACTCTGTCTCAAAAAACAAGAAAAAACAAAAAAACTAAGAGAGTAAGCAAAAACATCCCATAAATCACACCTAAAGTATAAATAACTAGAGAGTATCACAGACTTCAATTTGCACATGAGTGGGAAATAAATATTACAAACCAGCATTAGTAGCTCAAGAGGAGTGTGCAGGTAGTTTCTACTGGAGTAGAATGAAAACCACCTTACCTACAGAAATGGGATGGTTCGTAAGTGAGGAAATACTGAGAACAAATCTGAGAACTGGTAGGAAAAGAAAAGCAAGGGCCTCAGAAGCACATGAGATCAGAAATGGCAGTTTTAGAGGGCAAAGTTTCTAAAGGGAGAGGGAGGTACTTAGAAGGGTGAGGTGTTCCATGAAGGCTTAGTAGTAAAAGAAAATAAAAAAGCAAACAGTAAAAATTTAGGGATTTATACAAACAGGAGAGTCAGATATCACATAAACTCTCATCCCCAAAATAAAAGGCTTGTCTAGTAGTTTAAAAACCGCATTTATTGTGTCAACAGAATACTGTGGTATTGCTTCAGGAAACCTAGTAAGTAAACTATCTCCAGGCACCTTAAAGCAGAAATACCCAAAGATCTGAGCAATTAAAGAGATTTTTTGTGTGTGTGGAGACAGAGTCTTACTTCATCACCCTCGGTAGAGTGCCATGGTATTACACAGCTCACAGCAACCTCCATCTCCTGGGCCTATGCAATTCTCTTGTCTCAGCCTCCCAAGTAGCTGGGACTACAGGCGCCCACAATGCCTGGCTATTTTTTGGTTGTAGTTTGGCCAGGGCTGGGTATGAACCCACCACCCTTGGTATATGGGGCCGGTGCCCTACTCACTGAGCAACAGGTGCCACCCAATTAAAAGGATTTTTACAGTGGATGGATAAATGACAAAATATATCCATATAAATTTTCTTTAAGAAGAACATAGAGGTTCAGTGCTAATAGCTCAGTGGTTAGGGTGCCGGCCACATGCACCAGGGCTGGTGGGTTTGAACTGAAGATGATGAATGAATATACAGAAGTTAAAAAAAGAGAGACAGAGAAAGGAGAAAATGCTAATATAACGACTTTATGTTTTAAGCATTAAAGTAATTGGGGCTAGGTGAGGTGGTTCACCCCTGTAATCCTAGCACTCTGGGAGGCCAAGGTGGGTGGATTGCTTGAGCTTAGGAGTTTGACACCAGCCCAGCCTGAGTAAGACCAAGACTCCCATCTCTATTAAAAATAGAAAAGTTAGCCAGGCATTGGGTGCCTTTAGCCCCAGCTGCTCTGGAGGCTGAGGCAAGAGGATTGCTCAAGCCCAAGAATTTGAGGTTGCTATGAGCTACGATGCCACAGCACTCAACCCCAGGGCAACAGAATGAGACTCTGTCTCAGGAAGAAATAAGAGTTTGAAATTTCTTAAGTAACTAATATATGGAAGTTTGACATATAATTTAACAATCACCTAAAATCAGTTAGCCTTTTAAAAATTCTCTTTAAAGGATCTTCTTTGTCAGTATAAGGAAAATCTAAGCAAGTTTAGAAGTACTACCCTCTTCTCCTAGACAGTGACACAGAAGGTGACACCACCGATTTCCTCAGAGCGTCCATTCTTTCACATGACCCTGGCCTCCCAGTCACTCCTTGATCAGAGGGTGGGACAAAAACCTAAGCTTCAGTAATCAAATATCCCATTCCAAGCTGCTGTGGGTTCACCAGGGATAAGTACTTGATCTAAACTGACCCAGTAAGACCTTTCTTGGGACTCTCTCTTCTGTCACAAAAACTAAAAATAAAATGCCATGTTTCCTGTCATGCAGAGAAAACCAACTGGCAGTCAGACGAGCTGAGACTCAGATGCCAAAAAGAGATGATGAAAAAGGACTTGTAAGTTTCTAGGTGCATCTCTGCCCTCCCAGAGGTTAGGCTATTTAACTTGGTTTGAATCCATAAGCCAATACATTCTCTTTCGCCTATGTCTTAAATCGAAGTGGGTTATCATTTCAACTAAATTTCAGTAAAATAATAAGGAAAAATACCTTTTGTTCTTGCCCTGCTACTTCACAGGTGCTCTTTGCTGTCGGGAGCTCAGGAGTGACAGTCTCTGACATCTGATGGGCCCTCTCATTGTCAGATTTTACCTCTTGCTCTGAAGAGTCTAATGCCACTTTCAAGTTTTCCGTTTTCATAGCTGCCTTCTCTTTCATTGTTTCAACTTTTGTTAAAGATTTCTTTAGCTTTTCAATTGTTTTATCCTGTGAAAGGGGATAAGGTGGAAAGGAGATGACTGTGATGTGATCTCTTCTAAATCAGTGACAGGCACCACAATAATTCATGCTTCTTTTCCTTTCTTTTTTGAAGCCATAGACATATGGAAAAGAAAAAAGTCCACAATTTCTGAAATAAGAGGCCATTTCTATACCAACATACTCATTCATCACTAACATTAACTCAGCGCTTTTATAAAACTGGGGACTCAAAGAGGCTTAGCATGTTTTCCATATCCTTAAAGGTCTTACGGCCTATGTTAATTAAATATTGAAATATGAAAAGTAATTGGCTTTGCAGCAAGAGAAATGTTGCTGATAAACTGGCATATCAGTTGATCAATTGTTTAGTGCATGTTTGGCTTAAGGCATAATTTATATTTGAAATAATACAACTAAAGCTTGATATGGATAAGGTCTAAATGAGAACCAAAGAAATGACTAAAACTTTTAACTATTACCCAATAAGGGACTAAAGTAAAATTAAAACAAAAAGCAAGGGATTTATAACATAACACAATACCAGTTACCTTTGAAGAGTAAGGAAGAGGAATATGAGGCTTCAATGGGATTGGTAATATTGTGTTTCTTAAACTGAGTCATAACCCCTGTAATCCCAGCACTCTGGGAGGCTGAGGCAGATGGATCCCTTGAGCTCAGGAGTATAAGACTGGCCAAAGCAAGAACGAGGAGATCCCATCCCTACTAAAAACAAAAAAATAAGCCGGGTATTGTGGTGGGCACCTGTAGTCCCAGCTATTTGGGAGGCTGAGGCAAGAGGATTGCTTGAGACCAAGAGTTTGAGGTTGCTCCAAACTATGAAACCACAGCACTCTAGCCTGGGGCAACAGAGTGAGACTCTGTCTCAAAAATAAATAAATAAATAAAAATAAATTGAGTGATGTATTCAAAGGCATCCAGGTTTATTATTCTATATGCTTTAATGTTATATATTCTTTTGTGTGTATGTAAAATAATTTTAATTCTTTTTAAATTCAATAAGATACCTAAAGCTAAAATAGTAATAGACCAAAGCATAAGTGAATTTTTGAAAGCCTCCGTGTCTTTACTTACTTTAAGGACGTTTACTCTTGTCAGTTGAGTTTTCATACTTTTATTTGACAATTTTAAATCACTGAGCTGTTTCTGAAGTTTCTGAACTTTCTCCTCCAATCTTTGTGTTGTAGCAATCTGCCAATTCTGCTGAATATTCAGTAACATTTGTTGTGTGTTGTTTTTCTCTAGCTCTTCGAAATTTTTGCTGTCCTTGTCTATCTGGGAATTTGTAGTCTTCAAGTTTTCCTGTAAAGAAATCAAAAATATTAAAATAAGGAATTGTACTTCTAAAAATTTTTTTAGACAGAGTCTCACTTTGTCACCCTCAGTAGAGTGCTATGACATCATAGCTCACAGCAACCTCCAGCTCTTGGGCTTAGGCGATTCTCTTGCCTCAGCCTCCAGATTAGCTGGGACCACAAGTGCCTACTGAAATGCATGGCTATTTTTTTGTTTGCAGTTTGGCCAGAGCCAGGTTCAAACCTGCCACCCTCAGTATATGAGGCTGGTGCCCTACTCACTGAGCCACAGGCACTGCCCTTTTTTTTTTTTTGAGACAGAGTCTCAAGCTGTTGCCCCAGGTAGAGTGCCATGTCACAGCAACCTCAAACTTTTGGGCCCAGGCGATTCTCTTGCCTCAGCCTCCCAAGTAGCAGGCACTACAGGTGCCCGCCACAACAACTGGCTATTTTTTGGATGCAGTTTTCATTGTTGCTTAGCAGGCCCAGACCAGGTTCAAACCCACCACCCTAGGTGTATGTGGCCAGTGTCCTGCCTACTGAGCTATGGGCGCTGCCAGGAATTGTACTTTAAGATATTACACACTAGCATACTTTTGATCAATAAACTGCGAGCTTAACAATAGAAGCTCTACTTTATAGAAGTAAAATATTTTTCACCATAAATATGCAATATAAAAATAATAAGGAAAATAAATATGACAATAAAAATGACTCAGTGCTACCAAGTATATAGTTAAATAGATAATTTATAAGTACCAAACAGTAGTATAGATTAGTTCAACTTTTCTTGGAATGTATTATAAGGAAATAATCAGATATTTGGATAAAGACTACCTCAATTATGTTAAAAACATACATTGAAAATAATCAGAAGGATCTATACCTATATCCTAACACTGGTTATCTCAAAATGGTGGAATTACTAGTGTTCTTAATTGTATTCTTTAATTCTCTATCAATCTTCATTAATGCACATGAGTTTATTTATTTATTTTTGAGACAGAATCTCACTCTATTGCCCTGGGTAGTGTCGGCAGTGTCCTAGCTCACAGCGACCTCAAATGTTTGGGCTCAAGCAATCTTCTTTGTTTTAGAGATAGAGTCTCATTTTGTTGCCCTTAGTAGGTTTCACAGTTCACAGCAACCTCCAGCTCTTGAGTTTAGGCGATTCTCTTGCCTCAGCCTCCTGAGTAGCTGGGACTACAGGCACCTGCCACAACACTTGGCCAATTTTTCTATTTTTAGTGGAGATGGTATCTCGCTCTTGCTCAGGCTGGTCTCAAACTCCTGACCTCAAGGGATTCTCCAGCCTCTGCCTCCCAGAGTACTAGGATGATAGGTGGGAGCCAGCATGCCCAGCCAACTTTGGCCTTAATTTACTGGTTACCAAGCATAAATAACAGAGAGTGGGGAAAATTTTATCATACTGAATATTTTGATGCACTTTACCTCCTTGACCATGGTTTACTTGTCCCTTTTCCTAAATTGACCAGCACTGACTATTATTTATTTACCCATTTCTAGTCTCTTTCATTCTGCAGGAGTTTTTCTTTTCTTTGCTTTTTTTTTTTTTTTTTGTAGTTTTTGCCAGGGCCAGGCTTGAACCCACCACCCCTGGTATATGGGGCCAGCGCGCTACTCCTTGAGTCATAGGTGCTGCCCCCAAATGAAGATTTTTCAAACCAACTTTACACCCTTCAGGAACAGTCCTTTGTAACTGGATGTTTAGTATCTGCCAGGAAACTGGTCTTTAAGCTGTTGAAGCTATAGATATTTTATGACAGCACACTTCCCTTGACCTGCTTTTTTTGATTCCATTACTGTTTACCCTGCATTTTTATTTTATAGCTTTATATATGATGATCTTGACTTGTTAATTACACAAATCAACTTTATTAAAATCCAGAGATAACTGGTCTTTATGTGGAGCCTGATTGACTCCATTTTGTACCAGTTGACTCCATCTTGTACATGGTTTAAAACTTTGCAACCCCCACTGCCCCTCCCCTCACATATTGTTATAGGCCCCTGAGCATGTATGCCCTGCAGAAACAGAAAGACAAGCTTAGAGCTGCAAAACCTTTAAAACTCCCAGTCTGCATGCAATACCTGCTTTTCTGCAAGGGCCTTTTGTGCCCACTTACCCCCTCCCTATAGACTCTAATCTGGCAAGTATTGCTTCTGTAATTGCTTTGCTCACAGAATCCCCAACTGTTGTTATTTTTTTTAAGGTTTTCACATTTTTTTTTCTTTTAATTAAATCATAGCTGTGTACATTAATGAAATTATGGGGTACAATGTGCTGGTTTTATATATAATTTGAAATACTTTCATCAAACTGAAAGCACAATTTTGAAATTCTGCTTCCCTGCTTTTCTTTGCCCAAAGTACTTTGGGTATGAACCCCCTCTTGGTGCCAGCTAAATAAAGGACTCTAAAACACAATTGGACTCAGTTGTAATTGTGCTGGCATAATTCTCTATAATTCCATTCACATTTGGGTATAACATTTATATTTCATACAAAATTAAACTAGAGGCTCAGCACCTGTAGCTAAGCAGTTAGGGCAACAGCTACATATACTGGAGCTGGTGGGTTCGAATCCAGCCCAGGCCTGCCAAATAACAATGACAACAACAACCAAAAAATAGCTGGGTGTTGTACCAGGCTCTTATAGTCCCAGCTACTTGGAAGGCTGAGGCAAGAGAATCACTTAAGCCCAAGAGTTTGAGGTTGCTGTGAGCTATGACACCACAGCACTCTACCAAGAGCAACAGCTTGAGACTCTGCATCAAAAAAAAAAACACAAAAAATTAAATTAGAAGACAAAACTCAGGTGGCACCCATAGCTCAGTGGTTAAAGCACTGGCCACATGCACCAAGGTTGGTGTGTTTGAACCCAGTCTAGGCCAGCTAAACAACAATGACAATTGCAACAAAAAAATAATAGCCAGGTGTGGGCATCACCTATGGCTCAAGGAGTAGAGCACTGGCCCCATATACTGGGGGTGGCAGGTTCAAGCCTGGCCCCAGACAAAACTGAAAAAAAAAAAAAAGCCAGGCATTATGGAGGGCACCCGTAGTCCCAGCTACTTGGGAGGTTGAGGCAAGAGAATCATGTAAGCCCAAGAGTTTGAGGTTGCTGTGAGCTGTGATGCCCCAGAACTCTATCCAAGGTAGCTTGTGACAAAAAAAAAAAAAAGACTTATGCTTTTATAGTTGCTACAGAGATAAATAATGGAAAGATTTTTGTTGCTGTAAAACAACAAAATACAATATATACATTGTATATAATAAAATTACTTGAGGAGTGTAATGCTTGGGTTTTTTTGTGTGTATATCTTTGCAATCTATATTATATATATTGACAAAAGAGACAGTGAAATTTATAGCCAGACCAGAACATATATAGGAAGACTTTTTGGTAATCACTAACTCTACCCTGAAATGATGGACTACAAGTTATAATGTGTGTTATCTACACCTCTATCCGTAATGTTAGAAAATCTCCAAGTGTTAGATGCACTGGTTTGTTTCCAGTGTACATTCTTTACGTGTGGTACACTCCTGTAACTGGTTGGTCCTTTTTAAATAAAATGTTATTTGCAAAACAGAGGGTTATTTGTTTTTAAAGCTTTTGTAAATAAAGAAATGTTTTCTTGGTTGGTGCCTGTGGCTCAAAAGGGTAGGGTGCCAGCCCCATATGCTGGAGGTAGCAGGTTCAAGCCCAGCCCTGGCCAAAAAACTGCAAAAAAACAAACAAAAAAAAGAAATGTTTTCTTTAAAAAAGTTAATCAACAAAATTATAAATATTTAAATTATACATATCTGAAACAATAGGATATAAGTATATTAATAATCTCATTTTAAATATATATTTTGAAATATTGAAGAGGGAAAAACTTTTTTTAATTTGTTGAGAACCTTATTATTATAAAGCTGACTGAGTAAATTGTAAAAAAAATTTCAAACTGCCTTTTGACAGGTATAAAATTTACATTGAACAATTTGACTCATACAGTCAAATCTACTATTAATCTACTTTATTTTTGCCCTTTCTTGTTCCTTTAAATATATTCTATGAGACAGATTCTTCAAGTGAAACTAAATGAAGTTAAGGCAAGGCCATGTTTTTGTTTTTGTTTTCGTTTTTTTGAGACAGAGTCTCAAGCTGTAGCCCTTGGTAAAGTGCCATGATTGTCACAGCTCACAGCAACCTCCAACTCTTGAGCTTAAGAGTTATTTTGCCTCAGCCTCCCAAGTAGCTGGGACTACAGGTGCCCACCACCATTTTTTTTTTTTTGGTTGTAGTTGTTATTGTTGTTTGGCAGCCTTGGGCTGGATTGGAACCTGCCAACTCCGGTGTATGTGGCTGGTGCCCTTAGCTGCTGAGCTATAGGCACCAAGCTTGGCAAGGCCATGTTTTGATCACTTTCAGTTTAATGGAACAATTATAACTTTAATCGAAGTTATTTACTTAGGAGACAAAGGATAACATTAACAGATTTATTTGAAATATTAAAGAAAAAGAACCAAGTATACATATTAGATATAAAAAACAACAGAATGAAAAAAAACAGAATAGATCTGATAAGTATAATGAATAAAGCTGAGGAAACATCACACAGAGAAGTATAAAGGGTGGCACTAGAATTGCAAACCTTTAGATAAGAGCCAAAAGGAGAGAGAAGAAGGAGGGGCAAAAAAAGCAAAAGGAGAGGAGGGAAATGTTAAAATAATGATAAATCCAATGGATTAAAGATTAAGATTAAAAATATCAAAAAATGCCTAACAAGAGAGATAAGGAAAAACATAAATCTAAGCACACTTAAGAACATCAAAGCAAGTGAGAAAATTCTAAAAGCTTCC